GGAGAAAATCCACAGAGAAGAACAATCAGTCTCCTTACTTTTATTCGCTGTTTCCTCCGGTCACGTACGGGTCAGAGTCAGAGGCTCAGAGGCTGAGCTGCTGAGCTGCACGAGTCTGCTCTCACCTGTGCACGCAGTTGCATGCAAAGGATTATGGGGAATGTAGTCGCACAGTCATATTACCGGCTCTGTAGGAGAACTCAGCTATATAACTACCGTGGCATTCCCACAACGGTATCGAGAATTTATTTTATCATGACATCGCGAAATTCGATATATCGTTACATGCCTACTACATAATACATTCACTTGTGAGAAATATTTTCCCTGTTTTTCTGAATTATTAAGATTTTTTATCTTAAAATTATATAAAGTTTTCATGGGGAAAAAAATCCCCCTTTTTTTTTTTTTTAATTATTATTATCTTCTTTTTGGAAATGACAAGATTATAATCTCAGTAATCTCAATCTCAAGAGATAAATTTTCATGAGAAAAATCTCATGTTTTTACTGAGTTAACAAAAATATAATCTCAAACATTTTGTGGTGTTTTCATGAAAAAAAAAACAACTTTTTTTTCTGAATTTAGAATATATTCTCAGAATTATGAGAAAAATTTCCTGGGAAAAGTAATGAGATAATTATCTCAGAATTATGAGAAATGTTTTCACGGAATTAAAAAAAAAAGATCTGCTCTTTGTTTTTTCCTTAATTAACAATATTATTTATGAAAAATTATGAAAACATTTTTATGAAAAAAATAATCTTATTTTTTCCTGAACTAATGTGATAATTATCTTGGACTTATAAGAAATGATGTTTTTTTCCGGAATTAATGACACTGTCTCACAATTGTGGGGAAAATAGTCAAATAAAGAAATATCTGCCTGTGCGTTTTCTGAATTAATGAGATTATTATCTCAGAATAATGAGAAGTTTTCATGGAAAAAAGTTTTTATTATCTTCTTTTTTGTAATTGACATTTGACCTTTTAGAATTATGAAAAAAAAATCATGAAAAAAATCTTATGTTTCACTGAATTTACAGGATTATTATTTCAAAATTCTGAGGTGTTCTCAGAAAAAAATAAAAATAAATAAAAATTAGAATTTTTTTATTGAGAATATATTCTCGGAAATATGAGAAAAGTTTCCTGAGAAAAATCTGCTCCGTGTTTTCCCTTAAAGTACGAGATTATTTTCTCATAATTAGGAGAAAAGTCTTCATGAAAAAAAAAAATCTGCTTTGTATCATCTCAGAGTTACGAGAAGTTTAATGGAACATTTTTTTGTGAATTTCCGCAATTATTATTTCAGAATTATGAGAAAGATTTTCATTTAAAAACATTTCCTTGTTTTTTTCTATACTAATGAGATTATAATCGCGCAATTATTTGAAGTGAGAAGAAAAAAATGTGCTCTTGTTCTTTCTTAACTTGCAGGAGTTTTTCAGAAGTTTGAGAGGTCTTCTTTAAAAAAAAACTTGTATTTTTTAGTTAGTTAGTTATGAGAAGCTTGCATGGAAATAAAAAATCTCATGAATTTGATTTTTTTTCTGATTTAGGGGGAGTATATTACATTAACAAGATTATTCTCTTGTTAGTTCATTAAACCTTTTATCATTATTCTAAGATGATAATCTAGTTCATTTAAAAAAAAAAATTCTCAAATGAATGCATTACACTTATACATTACTACATTTTACTTCTCTGTCCATTAAAATTACATGATTAATTAAGGTATCCCTTCTAGGACACAGTGACACATCCCTGTCTTTGAAAAGAAAACATCCCACTGTGTGTCCACCAACAGCACTGAGCTCTGTTCCCATGTTTGCATCCTGTTTCAGGCCGAGTCATCCTGCAGGAGCAGCCCTGCTGCAAAGCAAACTAAACCCTGAACAAATAATATTTGCATACACTTGTGATGGCTTGTTTTGTCTAATAGGCTGCCACATGGGTGGAGTCTGCCACTAAAGGCAAGAAAATGAGTTTACCAGACCACAGCTTAGCATCTTGTGTAAATCAGCTGTCAGGATGTTGTAAATCCAGCCAGCCCTGAGCTAAAAACACATCAGACAACCATCAGAGGATTTTAAGAGACGCTTGATGTATAATGGCTGCTCGTACACGGCTGCTAATATCCTGTTTAGGAGTGTTGTATGTGACAAATGACAGACAGGACAGGTTTGGGCTCAGGCTTAACGTTTGTACGCTGTTTTAAGTGACCTGGAGTTCAGCAAGGCTACGTGTTAGATGTGCAAACACAGCCCAAGGCCATGTACACGAGTTCTGCTTAACTGATTCAAGACCACTCCTCCACCTCCACCTCCACCTCCACCTCTGCACTCTGTCCCAACAAAGAACAAGCGTCCCCATTAACAGCCCTCCATTCACTCATTAACCTGTGTGCAGTTTCAGTTTGTCACATTTACAGCCATCTGTGTGACATAAAAACACAATGACGTGAGGTTTTTAGTTTTGTTTTTATGCAGATACACATTTACATTTCAACTAAAGCTGCTGCTCTGGTGACTGGTTATTCATTGTGTTTCTATTTAAACAAAAATGACAAATACTTGCTGATATCAGCGTAATAAATGTGAGAATTTGATTCTTTTCTCTCTTTTATATCAATGTAAATTAAAAATATTTAGGTTTCTGAAGTGTTATTTGGACAACAGGCAGCTCAGGGAAGTTAGCATGGAAAATTTCCTCATTTTTCATACGTTACAGGCAAAACACTGAATTAACTAATGTACGAAACACGATTTTGATAAAGAAACTGTTAATAACTTACACATGGTGGGTAATTTTAGAGTCCGATTTAAGTGACTTTAAAATTTTCACTATTTGAAGACCCATTAAAGAGTCAATAAATGTAGAAAAGTTTTGAAATAACACTGAGAGAAAGTATTGGAACTATGGGCGTCGCAACATGACCGTGACAGTTAAAAATTAAATGTTGATATCATGTTAATCATCAACCCTGGCTCCTAGAAATTAAGTTTAAATGTTAGGTTTGTTTGCTTTCTTAATTACGTTGTTGTGGCAACGTAATTGCTGCCTGGACGATGCTCAGAGACAACGTTTCTAACTCTACTGTCATCCATCTTGTACAGTTCGAGAGAAAGTGGGTGGAGGGGATTGTTGGTATACAAAGTGCAGGACCTTGACACCAGAACATCTAGCTCATGTTCAGACTCCTGTCTTAGGTTTAGGCCTCAAAAGTTCTTTGGTTAAAGTTAGAGAAAGAGAAAGATAATAAAAATAAAAATTTTATGAATATCACGATTATATTTTTATTGTAAACTCTTTTGGCCATGATAATCATGTAGTATAAAATATGATATTGTGTCAGCCCTAATGGGAACACTTAAATTAACTCTTAAAATACGAAAAATCCAAGTAATTTAAGACTTTAAGATAACTTTTCTTAAGTCTTTTTTTTTAATCAAAATGTCTTTAAAAATGGCGGCGGGACTCCATACACTACTTATCTTGTTTACGGCAATGGCTCCCTACAGTTCGTAAACATGCAGTGTTGGGGAGGTTACTTTTGAAATGTAACAGGTTACCGATAACTAGTTACCCTGGTAAAATGTAGCAAGTAATGTAGCCTAACTATTTTAACGAAGAAGAATGTAATTGGATGAACCCCTTTGCAATCACCAACATTTTGATAAAGTAGTAACTGTAATTTAATTACATTTCTTTACTCAGTAACTGTAACTGATTACAATCACATTAATTTAGTAATTCAACGACATGTAACTAGTTACTCCCGAACACTGTATATGTATCTACTGATTTGTTAATTGCTTGTGAGGTGACTGCTGCATTGTTTTTGTTTTGCAATTGTAGCCTCTAGTTCAGTCATTTATTGCCGATGACAGTTCATGTCAATTTTTAGTACATGCTAATGCCACGGCTAATGTCTTTTATTATATTCTATGAAAGAAAGAAAGCAAAAAAACTTTAAGGTAAAATTAATTTTATACAAATAAAATATTCTGTACACATCAGGTGTAATATTTCATATAGGACATTTTCTGAGTCATCACTTTTGTTTGTTTTTTTTAAATATCGTGATAAATATCGTATCGTGGAGATTTTTTTTCTTTCTTTATCGCAGTACCGTCAGTTTTTTTGTAACTTGGTAACAGTCTGCGCACTGACTGCTGCATTGTTTTGTTTTGCAATCGTGGCCTCTAGTTTGGTCATTTATTGCCAAAGATAATTAACGTGAATTTTTAGCACAATGCTTAGATAATGGCAAGCTACGTTTATTTTATTTTAAAAAAGAAAGCAAAAACACTTCACTGTAAAAAGATTTTTTTTGCAAATAAATGTTCTGTACACATAACATTTAATCATTAACAAAAAATAACTTTTTCAAATCATAATTTGTGTTTGTTTTTCAAATATCGTGATAAATATCTTATCTTGGTATCTTACAGTGAGTTTTTAGTATCTTTACATCACTAGTAATGGCCTGTCAAATATGAGCTCACAACGATGTTATCATACCTGCTTTTGTATCTTTACTTACTGTGGCACCACTTCAACATACATTTTTGCTTGTTTTTTAAATATCGTTATAAATATCGTATCATGGTATCATACAGTGAGTTTTTAGCATCATTACATCACCAGTAATAACCTATGAAAAACGAGCTTATAACAACGTTATCATACATGCTTTTTTATCTTTATTACTATAACACCACTTAAACACACCTAAAGTATAACTATAACTACTTTATTTTGTTTAATTGTACGCGTTTTTTGAGTATTTCTTTGTTTTCAAAGCGGGCACGCGCCATATGGCTGACATCACCACTTAACGTTCACCTGTTGCTGCTGATAACCCTCGAAGAAGAGTTAACAACGGTTTACTATCGCGTCATTAACGCTTTTAAAACGCTTTAAAGTTAATTTAAAGCATTATGTGTAAGGTAAAGGAGACAGAGAGAGTGGTAGCAGATGGTGTTTGGACCTACCTGTTGTGCTAAGCGAAGGTGTGGCACTTTGCCCTAGGTATCAAAAATGAACGGATAACTTCAGTTGTCATTTAAGTTGCGTGTCTTCCGGTGGTCCTGGTGGGAATTAGAAACACAGTGGAAGAAGAAGAGCGTCCATTAAAGGATGTTCAGCGGGATATGAGCTCCTCGGGTCGGTTAGAGTTGTTGTGGAGAAGAGTTTCCCCCCTTCGGTGACTCCACGGTCCCATGTCTCCTGTGTGAACAGCCGTCTGATGGTGAGTTAGCCTGGGAAACTACTGCACCTCCGTCAGGCTACACACCGCCAGCTACAACTGCTTCCGGTCGACGCTTTCAAAATAAAACTCAACCCTGACAAACGCCACATTATTTACTGTATTAATTATTTCAATATGTTATATTTATTTATTTATTTGTAGTTCACAGAACTGCGCTTACTTAGCAGTGGTTAAATTTAACTAAAAAATAAATATAATATAAAAAAATACATTTTACTTAAGTAGAAATTTAAGGGATTTGTACATTACTTAGGTATGATCTTTAAATGCCACTTTGTACTAAATTTCTGGGGGAAATTTTGTGCTCTTTGCAATTTCAGATTTTTGCCCTCAAAAGATATGAAAAATTTATAAAATATGACATTTAATTATAAATTAAACTTCCTAATAATTTACAAAAGTGGGCCGACAGCTTAAATAATTAGTCATATAATCGATTATATATTTACAGAAAGTTAACTGGCAACTATTTGAAGTGTTTTAAGTTTTAATTAAATTTTATTTTATTTCTATTTATTTTGCAAAAACACGTAATGTTTCCAGCTTCAAAAAATGTGAAAATTTGCTGCTTTTCCTTTTATCATTTTACTTTATTTTTAATAATCTAAATGGCTGTGAGGCTGTCACTTTGGGCCCTGGGTAATTGTGACAGTATTTCTTTATATTTTTACTTCTTAATAACAAAATAAATAAATAAATAAGTGTCATGAGTGGTACTTCTTACCTTAATCATTAAAATAAAGTAAAAATTACAAAGTGCTTTGCATGAAGCAAAACAGGTTACAAGATTTAAGACACAACAAATAAAAGAAATGAACGATGTTACAACTGTCTGGATTAACATGTAGCTAGTGTTTATTAGGGTAACTAAATGTGTGCCGTTTGAAACACACATAAATCTTAATGATAAAAATTCATACCAGCACAGTGGTGCCCAGAATGAGCTTGAGGGGGTCACAAGATGATTAAAGGAATAATACAGACAAAAAGACCTTACCATAAAATCTTTAAATGCAACAACTTGAGATGAAAAACACTGGTTGACTGCTCACCCATCACACACTGATACAGCTGTAACCTGAGAGGAGGGGCTGATTTATTTTTAGAGCTCACAAACACAAAGGCTTTAACAAACCTGACTTCCTGTCTTGACGTGGCAAAGTGCGTCCAGCTTGACTCAGTTTAACCTGACCTGCCTCTTCACAGTTGATCATATGACTTGGATGCGATTAGAGTGGAATCACCCCTGAACATGTTACACACTTAACAAAACCTGGCCTCAGCCCAGGAAAGAAAAACTCTTGTACAAAAAGTATAAAAAAAAAAGTTATAATTATTGAAAAAAAGGGGAATAAATTGGCAACTAAGAGGAATAACTCTTATATTGTACTGTAATGCATTTATAATCTGTTTTCAGGAATTATCCATCAGGTGTTCTTCAACAATGTGCTCTACAGTTTTGCTGTTTCACATGACATCATAGGCAAATTACTTCCCTTAGGACGACACACAACTGGAAAACCGGTTTGTGTGTTTACAGATGCACGGGCAATAAAGTTTATCCTTGGAGGGGTCAGAAAGGGTGGGTGTCACAGGTCATCTGTGGTGAAAGAAGTACTCATATCTTTAATGTAACTAAAAGTACCACAGTGTAGAAACACTCTGTCACAAGTTAAAGCCCTGCATTTATAATTTTACTGAAGTAAAATCACAAATGTGTCAGCATAATAATGTACCTGAAGAAATAAAAGCAAAGTACTAATTTTGCAGGAGGGTTCATTTCAGAATGATGTCGGCCTACGGTATAATATTGGAATATAATTATTGATGCAGTGTGTGTACATCACTTTAATATTGCAGCTGGTGAATGTGAACGGCTTATTTCAATTATTTCATTTATACACTGAGCAAAAATTTAAAAGCAACATTTATGTTTTTTGCTCAGAGTTTTCAGGAGTTTAAATTTTGAAGAACTCTGGACTGGACTTTTTTAATGCCCACAAAAGACTTACTTCTCTCAAATTTTGTCCACAAACTTACTTAACTTGTGAAAAATGGTACTAACAAAAGTGTTGCCTTCATCGATGGATTACTGATCTGGTCTAACAGGCACAGTCTCAGAGGCCCAAAGTGTCGGGCACCCCCTGACCTTCACCTGCAAAATGGCACTCAAATTAACACGTACTGACGAAGCAGAGACCATAAATGACCACAAAGGAAAACAACCAAAAAAACGCACAAAATTGAATCAAAGAGATACAAATGATGGCAAAAAAGACACAAAACGACCACAAGGACACACAAAATGACTACAAAGAGAAACCAAACCATAAAAAAAGATATATATTTACCACAAACAGACACTAAATCACTTCAAGAAGAAACTAAATTACCTCAAGAGACCCAAACGACTACAAAGAGACACAAAATTACCTCAGAGACACAAAAGTATCTCAATAAGACACAAAACCACCTTTCAAGAGACCCTGGTGACTACAAAAAGACACAAAACAACCACAAGGAGACACTAAATAACTAACAAGGGCCTCCAAACAACCAAAAGAAGGAATGAAACCCCCGCCAAAACGTCAAAGTGACACAAAATTACCTCAGAGAGACCCAATAGACCACAAAAAAGACACAAAACAACCACAAGAAGACACAAAATGACTACAAGAGACAGAAAACCACAAAAGACACATATTTACCACAAACAGACACTAAATTACTTCAATACTCACAAAATTACCTCAAAAATATGACTAATTAGAGATACAAAACACCCAAAAAGGCAAAAAGTATCTCAAAGAGACCAATATTACCTCTAAAGAGACACAAACAACAAAGAGACACAAAACAACCACAATGAGACAAAAACTGACTAATTAGAGACCAAAAAAAAACAACCAAAAAAGACACAATCACCTCAAAGAGACACAAATGACTACAAAAAAGACACAAAACAACCACTGAGACACAAAATGATCTCAATAAGATACAAAACTATCTTTAAAGAGACCCCAACGATTACAAAAAAGACACACAACAACCACAAGGAGACAAAAAACGACTAATTTGAGACATAAAACAACCAAAAAAGTCACAAAATGACCCCAAAGAGACCAGAACGACTACAGGAAGACACAAAACAATCACAATTGGACAAAAACTGACTGACTAATTAGAGACACAAAATTATCTCAAAGACACACTAAACCACAAAAATATGCATAACAACTCAAAGAGACACAAAACAACGACAAAAAGAGACAAATCTGAGTAACTTCTCTGACTGTGATAAATGTGAGCGCGTTTGTCTCCTTGTTTTTTGTAAAAACAGTTTCTCATGATAACAACAGCATGTACATGTGAAGGTATGAAGCATGGTCGGACACAGCAGGCTTTAGGAAAAGAAAACACTCAGAGAAACACTGGAGATGTTTTTCCTGCTCTGGCTGCAGCTGACAGGACGGCGGCTAACATTCTGGTGAAGACACAAAACATGACAACAATGTGACACGTCACATGCAAAATGGAGAGCCCTCCTAGACATTTTAAAGATTCAGCCAGTGGTGCCGCATAAATACAATCCTCACTTCGCTGCTTCCTTCTCTTATACATTTTCCTTCTTGCAAAAAAAACTCCTGTGAAGGAATGAAACAAAGAAAGGGAAAGAAATTGTTTCATATTTTCAGAGGTACATTTATTCGATTTGTAACACAAAACCTCTCATTAAACCACAACTTGTTGCTTTTACACTTCAGTTTCTTTGCAGATATGACGTGTTAATTAGTGAACGTTAAAAGTGATGGTGATCTATTGGGTTCACACTAATTTACACAAATGGGTACCTTCGTACAACTAAAGCAGGATTCATACTTCTGCATTGAATTGTTGCCGTACCTATGGTGTAGGCTGTGTTGATATAGAGTCATAGTTATAGAGTAACTACACATTGCGGTGATGCGACAAAGCTTTTATTTACTTTAATTTCACAGATAAGAAACAATAAATTGTGAAGACAATATAGCCTCCACAAAAATAGCATCGTAAGTCTTGTGTGTGATTTATCCTGGCTTCATATGAGCAGAGGAAAAGTTTGTTAGCTGCTAGGCTAATTTATACAATGTAAAATGCCATAGGCTTGTGCTAATAACGTTAGCATGTTGTATTTGTTTGGAAAACGTGTTTAGTATAAGACAGTTGTTTTGTCAGTGAACCTTGTGAGTTGTAATGGAGCTGAATTTTGTATCGTTACCTTTGTTAAATGTTGCTGTTGTCCCTGGTTTCATATGAGTAGAGGAAAAGATAGCTAGCTGCTAGGCTAATTTATACAATGTAAAATGCCATTTTGGCTTGATCTAATAACGTTAGCATGTTGTATTTGTTTGGAAAACATGTTTAATATAAGGGCTCATTGATGATCCCTTGATGTACGAAAATGTATATGTCCGTTTCAAATGATGTTACCGTCACTGCCCACATACTTCTATGCGTCCTTTACGTTGGCATGGATGTTAACCAATATATCCACCAGGGGGCAGCCCAGCGTCAAAAGTTTATGACAACAACAAACTCAAAAACAAACATGGCGACCGTGGAGGAGATATTGATAATGTACCTCTTGCATAAAAGACAAAAACAGAGGCAGCATTGTAGGAGGCGGTGTTCGGTGAGGCTGTTAAATACATCGCGACTGGAGGACAGAGAATTCTTTTCTCTAGTACTGCCGATGAGAGAAATTGAATTGTTATTTCTTCTTCGTGTCTCACTAGAGCTACGTATCGGGTAGTGACAGCAACACTGCCCCCACGGTTCCTGGTGGTACTGCTTCGTTTGGCCCGTATCCGTAAGCTTTATGGAAACGTGCAGAAATATGGACGAAATGAACACAGAGCACGGTCAGAAGGCTCCATCTGTATCCGTATCCGTATTTAACGTTGAGCATAAATGAGCCCTAAGACAGTTGTTTTGTCAGTGAACC